TGTTGTGAGTGTTCAGCGCGAGCGAAGATGTCAGATGCCACTATTTGCAAGTACTTTGCCATTACATTCCACATCGCTAAAGATATGTGCCCAGTTAGCACTGTTAGCAACCAGGGCTTTAAGCAACTTGTCAACACGTTGGACAAGCGTTACGCGATGCCGTCTCGGTATTATTTCAGCAGGTCTGCGCTGCCTGCGCTATGTGACAAATGCCGTGGGGAAGTTGAGAGATGTGGCTTCAGCTGACTACTTTGCGACCACAACGGACCTATGGTCTAGCCCAGGGGTGCCCAACCAGTCGATCGCGAGATGTGTCTAAAAATAGAACAACAATATTCTGTTTTATCGTTAATGTCCTGTAACATAATCTTCCTGTGCCAGAATAATGCACTTGAACGCATCAAAGCTTTGTGATTGGCCGGCGTCACCCCATGTGTCGGGGCGTGGCTGAGGGTCTTCAGTACAGGTGGCAATATCGTCACCTGCCTGCGCTCATCTCTGAAACCAGACCATGTAAACAGGCTGTTGTTTCTTGCAAAAAATCTTTAAGAGATGACACGAGCAGTCCTACCAGCATTTGTCATGGTGGCCAAAACATTTTTATTTGGTCTTAAATTGTAGTTCAACATTTATTTCCTGTTACTTCTGGACCATGACGGTTGGCCAGCCTTCAACGTTTAACTGAGTGGAATAATGAATATGTTTTACCAAAATGTTGGCTATGTTAAGGAGTTTTCAGTAGGTTGTGACAGTGCACTGCAACATATTGGATTTAATTTATTTTGGTCTAATTTATTTTTATTTATCATATTAATAATATATGTTTGGTATGGTTTTGGAAGTGTGCTCCAACATATTTGTTGATCTTGTTTATTGGTAAAATATTATTTGTTTTAAAGTTCAATAAATGGTCAATGAATAATCGTCAAAATAATCGTGATATCAATTATTGACCCAAATAATCGTGATTATGATTTTTGCCATAATCGCACAGCCCTAGTGTGGGCTGTCTTTCATTTTGACACACAGAACAATGGGGCGGGCTATCCCCCCTTATCCACAATGTAAAGTAATTCACACAGCCTCTTCTCTCTTCTCTCTGTGAGGAGCAGCAGGTTCAGCTTTCAGAACACAGTAACAAAACACAAAAATTGCATAATTTTTTTTTAAATATGTCGTGTAGTAATAGATGTATCTATGTTCTTCTCAAGAGAGCACCAGAATGTGTATTTTATGTTAGTATTTCAAAAAATCTCCTGGGGGAGAATCCCCCCAGACCCCCCTGCAGGGGTTGGGTTTTCAGCATGTCAACTCTTTCACCTGTGGGGAAATTGCAGGATTGGTTCCAGGTCGCCCTTTTTATGCACTACAAGACAAATGTGCCTTTTTATTTCATACAGCTCAATTTTGATTGAGACAGGGAAATAATCTAAACCTCACGCGTGGCGTTTCACTGTCAAGGGGAGCGTGTATGTAATTACATTGCAAATACTGACTTGAGCCCCACCACTGTATGGGTTAGCCCTACCATAGATTACCCGACAAAAATACTCTGGAGCCGCCACTGTATGGAAGCAAACAAGAGACAGAAGTATTTGAATTTTATTAGACACCGAATTTATAGCATTGAAAATAATTACTTTGAAAATCATGTATCTGAATGTTTTTGCTCCGAATCTACCTATGTGAAATAAAAATGTAAAAATTCAAGTGAAAAAAATTCGAATGTTCAAATTCAGATCCCAAAAATTCCACGTCAAAAAATTCGGTGTATAAAATTCGATGTCCAAAATTGCGGTGCAGCATCATCCGGGCTACTCAGACAGGATAAGCAATCGAGCCCAGGGTCGGCTCTAGAACAAATCGAATGGGGGGGGCACACACTGCCGTCAACAACCAACGCAACTTCAAAAAACATGCTGTAAAGTCTATTGTCTTTCACACACATTGCAGGGTGTAGTGCTATTTTATAGCGCACCTATGACTTGTGCATACATGCACGGTTGTGGCACGACCACCAAAACAGAAACATATAAGGACATAGGCCACAATATAAAAAGGGTGCAAATGTATTTAGTATCCTATCCATGTGAACATGTTTTAGGTGGGTGTGGACCTAACCTCCTCTAGGAGGGTCCGGGGGCATGCTCCCCCGGGAAGATTATTTAAAAAATATTAAAGTTAAATGCATCAATCTGGTACACTTTGAGAGCAACATTAGGAGATATATGGATAGCCTACATCTCTCAGCATCCATATGAAACAGAACTGTACACAGATTTACTTTTTCTTTATGGATATTTTACTAATCACTCCCCTTGTAAACTGTATTCTTGTGTTACTGTCCTATAGTATTTCATACCCGTTTTTTATTTATTCTCTTATTCTTTAATAACTATAATGATCATATAAAGGTATTCCTCGCAAATACTTGTTTACATAAATGCTGAGCAAACCGTTTGAGACCCACTGAGATAACCTACACTAAAGTGAACTATCTAAACACTGAGAGAGTCCTTACCTCACTGAGCTGACGTTATAAGATCCTCTCAGTCTGACAGGAGAGGACTCTCCTCCACCTTGGTGTAGAAACAGCTCTTTATATCCGTTAGCATAGCGAGCTAACCAGATGCTAACATCAACATTCCACGTTACCGCTTGCGCACTCACAAAATGCGCTCGTGCCACACACACACAGAGCCGAGCTTGAATGAAACACAGAGACCCAGAAGTAGGGTACTTGTACTGTACTGTATATCATATTATTTTCGATGGCTTTACTGTATAATCAGTGTAACAGATGAACAGATCGCCACTGGGCTTTCATCTAAACACACAGCCACGTAATGATAACAAAACAAAGGTCGGGGGTCATTGGTCAAGCAACACACCAATCAGAGAGCAGCAGTGAGCACAGCTCAGGCTGTGTTTTATATTTGTATTCTTTATTTCTGACGTATTTCACACAACAAATCTTTAGTGGAAACGTTTTCACTTATATGATTTAGAAAAAAAAAACGGCAAAGTGGCAAGGCTTGCCCACCCTGCTTTGGGGGGGCACAGTGACTCATTTGGGGGGGCATGGCCCGCGAATGACCCCACATGACGCCGACCCTGATCGAGCCCTAATGCAATCAAACTGACTTGGCCTATCAGAGCACGGCTTTGTCAGTCATGTGATCACAACAACCCGGGAGAAAAATGACGGAGAACAGCGGGGCTCGCCGCTCGGGTAAGCAGTCAGTTTGTGCTCTTTATTTTACAAGCAGTGAGGGCTCGACAGCATTTGTATCTTACATTAGCTAGCTAAATGAGTGAAGTAGCCTTGTGCCTTGCTGTTAGCAAGCTCCGTAGTTATCATTAATTGAAGTGAATCACAACGTTACCGTGTCCTTTTGTGTGTGTGAGGGGGGGGGGGACGGTTTGCAAAGTAACGTAACGATCACTTCGGTTAGATAAGTCAAGTAGACCATGCTACACTATACGAAATACTCTCTTACAAAAGCCCTGCATTTAAACATGTTACTTTAGTAAAAGTATGCTAGTATAATTAGGAAAGTGTTGTTAAAGTATTTAAAGTAGACACAAGTTATACTATTATATTATATCATTTGATTTATTGTTATTACCGATGCAAGAGTTGACTTAACTGTTGTAGCTCATTTTGAACAATGAGCTAACTAATTATTACTTTCATAATGGTTTAATGTGCTGACTATTTTCTACATTAAGAGGTTAATAGATGAAGGTCTGGTTTGTTCAAAGTCTCAAAATAGTAGGACCAGAGCCCTAGAGCTCTGAGTAGGACATGCTGTCATAATTACCCAGAGTCCGAAGTGACACCTTTACAATGTTAAAGCTGTTAGATAAATGTAGTGACGTAAAAACTAAAGTATTCAAGATAGTGTAGTGAAAAAGAGATCATGTTTTTTTTTTTTTTTAAATGTTACTAAAACAAAATCTCTTGTTTTGGACTGACAGTAATGATTCAAGAAATAGTAAATAAATAAATACACACACATCAATCTGTTGTGGATGGAACACAATAAATGGTGCTCTTACCTGTGATGCCTCCTCCAAACATTATAACCAGACTGTATCATTCAAACTATAAGTAACAGTTCTAGCTACTTGACTTCAGACAAAGAATTCAAAAGACAAAATCAACACAATTTATTGAAAAACCAATCTTTATTTTACGGTGCCTCTCCTTTTGTTTGTATTATTAAACCCTTTCAATCTAAAAAACTGATCAACTCAACAGTTAACTTTATATTTATTATTGTCCAAAGCATCTAATAATAATAATAATACATGGGACTTTTATATAGCTTTTCATGAAACTCAAAGACTATTACACAATTTTGTTCCCCTCTCATATTCACAGGATGGATGATTAGAGACTTTGGGGGAAACCTCAGCTTTATGAACGTCCTGTCTGTTGGTTTGGCCGGAGAGGGCTGAGGGTCTTTCCCTGCGAGGAGTCCTCCTCGCAGGGAAAGACCCTGCAGGCCTGAGGGAGGAGGACCAGGCCTGAGGGAGAAGGACCAGGCCTGAGAGAGGAGGACCAGGCCTGAGGGAGAAGGACCAGGCCTGATGGAGGAGGACCTGCACCAGCTGCACCTACAGAACTTAGCCCATGCTGGGCATAGCTGTTACCACCTGCACAGGCCTAGCCTGTCAATTAACAGATTAACATTTAGTGTAACTTATGTATATTATTTCGTTTTTATTTTTTTTTTAAAAATGGTGATTGATAACTTTTAGTTCACATTTCAATAAATTGTATTTGCACTCCCAAAAAAAAAAATGGTGATTGATAACTTTTAGTTCACATTTCAATAAATTGTATTTGCACTCCCTTTGTCCGTTATTCTTACTGAAACTGTTAGATTACACATTCACATCTGACTGAAGATTGGTACCATTTATTTATGACGTTCCAAACTCTGCGGTACAAGGCACAAGTATTGTGAAGCTCATAAAGTGAGGCAAATGCATTTGATCAGCTGACTTTTTTTTTTTGCCAAACTTTATAGGCCTGACAATAATCACACTGTCTCTGAGGTGCAACGTAAAACACAAAACAACACACAAATAAAGTTCCTGTTGGACTACAAAACTATTCGCTGTCTCTTAATGTCCTGTACTGCTCTTAAATCTCATCACATCAGCTTCTCCTTTCCCTCTTGGATGTTCTTCTGGACCCTCAGAGAAAGAGAACATGGTGAAGCAGTCCTGTCTCTCAGGCATGTCCTTTCCTAACAGAAATATCAAAAAACATATTATTGCAGAGCAAGTGTGTTATTTAAGAAAGAGGTGTGTTTGTTTCTTCAGGGGCTATAAATATAATGATTTTTTTTTATTTGAATGTGTTTTTTTAAATCCAACAGTGTACTACAAAGATAATCAGGTTATGAATAAACCGTTCTAAATTCATCAACATTGAAATAAATGTATTATTAAAATAATATTTAACTGTTATCAAAACTTAGTGCAACTGTGGAAGCTTGCTCTGTTCGGTTGTCTCACTGAAAGACAAAGGGTCGCAGCTCTCACTATGTGATGTTGCTTAGTAAAATGTAAATGTAACCTTTTGCTAATAAAGTCCACTCAACATCACTGATGTGTAGGTGATCTAGTATTCACTCATGTTTAATGGCATGTCTATCAGTGTATTGGAGTCATTACTTTATGCATTCTTTGTAAAGTATGAAAAAGGTGTACTTTGGAATCCGTGCTGAAGTTCTCTGCTGTTAGGACTCCAGATCTGTCTCTCCTCCTCTGGTCCAGCCTGTCTGGATCACCTTGAGGACACTTTGAACAAACAGATGTAAAGTTACATGCGTGGGTTACAGACTTCTTTCCATGCAAACAACTTTTTATCTTCTTTTAAAAACAGGTCATAATCGTATTGTTATACTTAAGAAATGGCTGGATATCACAGTCCTTATACTGTATCAGTTTGATTGAGTATTATTGTGTAGGTCCTTTTTATTTTACTGTTATTTTGGATGAGTTTTTCATGAGTAAGTCAAATTAATTTGTTTTCATATGCCATATTCATATGTATCACACACATAGGGGTAAGACACAAACCTATTGAACAAATGCAATGCAATGGATAAGCTTAATTTCCACTGAAGTCACAGATAACGTCATATCATATTTAAACAAATCATTTCCTTCTCACTAAAGCATTGACTACGCTATTCATCGTCCTTAAATGCAGGCATTAAGTTACATGTTCTGTTGTACAGCCACGATAAGGCTGTTTCTCAAGTGTGATGATAATACAATTAAAAGAGGCATTGCTAATAATATTAAAAACAACAATGTTTGGGTTCTTTCGTCGGATAGGCGGTTAGCTGCAATAAATAACTCCAGTTCAACAAACCATATTACAATATCTAAGGGAGCGTTATTATCTTGAAATGTGACGTTCATATTTTAAAGATACACACATTTTATTGTGAGGTTGATTTAATATACACTAAGCCTCTCTTCAACAATACGTTGACGTTAGATAGTCTATTTTATGCTATAGTAGAGCATGGCGAATTTAAATGAACCTTAACAATGCATACAGTAACCTAAATAGCAAACTAACTATCTAACGTACAAGGATGACCTTATTTTAGCAACCTCGCACAGAAGCCTTCTGGTATACAGTAGCATCCCACTTAATGTTTTACACTCTTGGATGCTACGCATAGCATCGTTAGCACAGATGGAACTACGATTGCTCAAATGCTACCCCAACTCTAAACATTCATTAACGTTAGCTTAATAAAAACACCAGTAACATAACATAAAGTACGCAGGGTTGACTTACCGAAGAAACTGCATTCATGGACGGTCTGTTTCAACCGCAGATAAATCCTATATTTGCATGACGAATAGTCCACCAGGAACCAACACAACAAACACGGCAGAGTTCAAGTAGTGTTCTCCTCATGAGCTGAGCCGCTGTAGCATCACGGAGCTAACGGAGCTAGCAGAGAGGAGCTAGGAGCAGCAGTCCCGTTGTCATGAAGGGGGAATCTAACTATATACAGAATATATTTTTGTAGATCCAGGCTAGAAACATGTTCATTTTTTAAGTTGGACATTTTAACAAAGGGTCTACGGGAATTGCTCCCATCTGCATCCGTCGCCTACAGTTTGCAGCATTGGGCTTCACCGCACTGTCCCGGGGTTTGCCGCTTGGCTCTGATAGGCCAGAAGTCGGTTTGATTGCATTAGGGCTCGATTGCTTATCCTGTCTGAGTAGCCCGGATGAGGCTGCATCGCAATTTTTGACGTCGAATTTTACACACCGAATTTTTTAAACACCGAAATATTTGACGTCGAATTTGTTTCACTTTAATTTTTGGGATCTGAATTTGAACATTCGAATTTTTTTAACTTGAATTTTTACATTTTTATTTCACATAGATACATTCGGAGCAAAACAAATTCAGATTCATGATTTTCAAAGTAATTATTTTCAATGCTATAAATTCGGTGTCTAATAAAATTCAAATACTTCTGTCTCTTGTTTGCTTCCATACCACTGCATTTAACTATTATTATGTTAACATTGTGCACCCTTTGAAACTGTTCAGGTCAAATTGACCCAAGACATTATTGAGGCCTAAAAGAAAATAAAGGAAAATTAAATTGACCTGAACATCTTATGAGGGACGTAAATGTGTATGGGCATTTAAGTTTAAGTAAAAAACAGTCAGTTTAAAAACCTAAGCATTTATCAGTCTAATCTTAGACCGTCTAATCTAGTGAGGCTGTGGCTCAGTGGGTAGTGTGCTGGACTTCAAATCAGTGGATAGCAAGTTTGAGTCCCACTGCAGCCAGCATGTTGTTGTGTCCCTGGGCTAGACACTTCACCCCAAAATTGCTCCTGTGGGGATTGTCCACAGTACTGAATGTATGTAAGTCGCTTTGGATAAAAGCATCTAACAAATGACATGTAATGTAATCTTATCTTGGAGCTTTAATGGGATCAATTGCAGCTGCATTAAAATTTCATTTTCTCCTGCCCTTTCTCTTTTCCTTCACAGCTTTGACTGTGGCAGAGCATTAGGCCCCTGGTATCGATTGTATACTGAGGACTAATGGGCATGACAAACGCAGCAAGGGGACACAGGGGAGGGAACAGGACAATAAGAAGGAGAGGAGATAAAGTAAGGTCACCCCTAGAGATAGATAGATAAGAGGCCACTCTAGCCTGAAAACTTGTATTATCTTTTTATTATTGGACATGAAGAGAGAGAAGAGAGACTACAGAAAGGATGCTGTGACTTTGAAAGTCTTGAATGTGTTTCCTTGTTTATCATCAGCTGTTATTTTAGTATAGCATCACTAACATAATGAAAAGTCATAACCCTTTTGATTAATTTATAATCGATGTTACACAACATGAGAAAGACACATCAAATCATATCTGTTAATAGAGAAATAGTTTATGGTTTGCAAAGTGTTTTAGATGTTTTACTTTACTGATATGATGGGAAAGGGAAATAGAATATATTGTAAGTGAAATTATCTTATTTTCTTCATTAAAATCAGCTTAGTCATAATGTCTCTACAATGACATGCCATATGCTTTGATTAGACTACACGGTCTTTAAAATCTAACATGGTCAATGTTGAATAAACCTGTTTTTAATCAGTACCAAACTAGTATTGTAATTTTTTATTTCTCATTTCTAGTCCAAAAAAAAATAACTGAGCAGAACATCAAGAATCTCACAAATATTCCTTGAAAAACGGAAAAACATGGATAGTCTCTTATCACGTAAAGCTCCTCAGGCTAAACGTTCATAAAACTGAGTAAAGTGGCGGACAAACACAGACACCGAGACAGGCAGGAGTCAGACATTGTTCCAGGTCCATGAGTGTGTGACGTCCCCTTCTCTCAGAGCAGAGTTTCTACACAAATGAGTCTCTAGATAGCTGCTTTACCATCCTCTGATCCTTCTTACCTCGTCCTTTGACCCTTCCCTGATCAGAATGGCTTCTCCGCTGCCCACAGAAAAATCATTGCACCCATTGTTAAATTCTCCACCAATCGCCTCTCTCCCCTGAGCTCCACCTCTTTCCAATTAGGAGGTGTGCTGTCTGATTGCTAACCATTGCATGTCTGAACTCATTTATTTGTACTCCCAAGGACTCTTGCTGTGTTTAATGACCAACTAAGAATATTGTTTGTTTACAGCATGCGAAGTGAACATAAATATTGGTAGTGTTTTTTAGAGGTGAAAAGTTTCTTTCAAATGCTGGATGGACGTTTGTGGCTCACAATATTTTTGATAATGTCAAGCTGATGTGTGTTGATACAGAACTTTCCCTGGTTTATGGCCTGTGGTAAGCTCATAATGAATGTGCAGTTGTACCAACCTGGGGACCTCATTTATCAAGCAAAGGCCAACAGGGTCGATGCCATTTCCTCGTGCGATGCAGCCAAAACAGAGATGACTCAATGAGGCTGTAAAATGCAAGGTGTAGCCACAGGTATTTGTATTACCTGCAGCATCCAGGCGTGGGAGAACTAAGGTCAAATAAATAGACAGACACGCAGGCTTTTAGGGGGTATAATGCAAGATGGCAGGTCTCCAATCACTGGAAAATACAGATTTATCTTCATTATGATGTGAATATGTTATGGTTTTATATTGGGGTAATCTCAGTACTGATGCTAAAGGTGAATGTAGTCGGTGTGTCCAAATGAGCCTCGAAATTGGCTTTTCTTCAGAGCTACAGTATGACGGCAATTTCCATTTTCTCTTCCTTATTGTCAATAATGGTGATCATAAATGATGATAATGGCAGCTCAGAGCTGCATTAAAACAAAAAGTGGACGTTTAAAGGGTACTTTAAGAACCGTCAGTTTGATCAAACACATGCATGATATTTGATAATGTTATATTTTTTCTTTTTGTTAATAATGAAATTGTTCACGGAGTATAATAATAAGTGCTGTAATGCAGTGCACAACAACTGGCAGAGCTATTTTCTACCTGTCATGAAATATGAATGTTAAATTAAACCATAAAGGACAAAACGATTTTGAAAATGTTAAATGTTCTCCGTAATTGTCAGTCCTCTTTTTCACATCTGTCACAGCGCCAGCTTTCCTGCTGCTATCCCCTGAGCCTTCATTGGCTAAGCTAATGGCTCTCATTGAGCCAAATTCTACACCGAAGCAGACAGCAGATGTTGGAGCGGTCAGACGAGGCGGCCAGAATGACAACAACAATCCTTCTCTCTCTCAGAGAGAGAGAGAGAGAGAGAGAGAGAGAGAGAGAGAGAGAGAAAAAGAAAGAGAAAGAGAAAGAGAAAGAGAGAAAAGCAACCTGACTGGATGTGCCCCCCTGCCTCTCCTCCAGATGTTCACACCCCTGCTGGTCAAAAAGGACATTTGGGGGCTGTCACTCACAATTACCTTTTTAGGATGCATTGTCAGAGAAGTGCATGAGAATATATGTTATTATAAATGTTGTGATAAAGGCTTAAAGGAGAAATCACATTCTTAACCTCCACAGGAATCCGCAGGAAAAACGAATGTGTAAAGCTGGTAATGCTCACGAGCGCTTTAGCATAGCGGGTTATTTTTGTCATGACATGAGGAGTTTTAACCCTGCCCTTGTACAGAAGGTCAAATCAGGTCATAGAGTGATAGAGATAAGATAAGATAGAGCTTTATTGTCTCCCTTAGGAGAAATGTGTCTTGGGCATCGAGATAATACACATAAAACATTCAGGTCAGTCAGTCATAGATACAGAACAGAGATCACATATCACATGGCAACGATACAA